TTTAAGGTTAATATGTCACCTCCTCTGCATTTACTAAAATTGTTGCCGAAGAACGTCTGAAGCAGTGTCCTGTATATAAATGGGGATTTTCCAATTTTAAAAAAATTGCAATTCTCTTTGTCATACTACCAAATTTGTTGATGCCGACTACTTGTCTAGTACATTTTCCGTTCTGGTAATTCAAGAAGAAACGTTTTTCTGCCAAATCATTCGGTCGAAGAGCGGCATATTTTTTATATATATTATAAAATTCCCCCGTTACAGTGAAAGTTCTTGGCTTCTTTGTTTTGGTGTTATCTAATTTCACCAACAAAGCCGAATTTAGATCCTCTAAATCATCGACTTTTAATTTCCACAGTTCATCTCTACGACATGCCCCTGCTACGCCAATAGCCACTGCAACCTACAAATAAAAATATCAGGATGTAAAATCATTTATATAATTAAAAAAATATATCATCCCTGGCCGGGTTGAACCCCGGGCCGCTAGTATCCTAAGCGGAAGCACTACCACTACACCACGGAGTAGTTATTAAAATATTTATTCATAGGCATATACTCATCTTCCACAATATGAAATTGACTTTTTGAAGATTATCTAATTATTTTTACCTACTGAATACACCCACTAACTATAAAAAGCTGTTAATTCGAGGAAAAAAGCGGAAGAAATTCGAAAAATAGTTCAATTTAAATAATAAACCCACCTTTATTAGTAGATATTCCTTGTTTGGAGCTTCTTTTAAAAATCTCTGCAATTGGTCGGCTGTTAATATGTTTGATTTCTTTGGGAAGTAATTGTCAGACTTTCTTTTCAAAAATGCACGTAATTTTTGATACGTGGATATATCAATGTTATGTTTAATACTGATGGTACTTTTCAACATCGAATATTGTGACCAAAGTGTTGACGCCTTCAAAGTTTTCGACATTTCTTCGAAGTATACCAAAAGTACACTTTCCGAAAACGATTTTATTTTCGTATTTCTTCTCCATTCCATGAATTTCCCATATGCCAATTCATACTTCTTTCGGGAAATTTCCGGCAACAAATCTAATGTTACTTTTGCCGCTTGTTCCAATATTTCTGGTGGAGTATTGTCAAAATCGTCACTGCTTTCATAAGTTTCCATATTATTTACCTATCACTGGTACAAATATGTATATTATGTCTTACTAATATTCAATGAAATTGCGATTTTTTATCGAAACACGATTGATAACTACCTCAAAAATTGAAATAAATTCTGTTGACAGTTGTTCGTGACAACAGCGGCCAACTAAGTTTTTGTCGATTTTAGTTGATTCTCCATATAAAAGGTACCTACTATGCGTGGTGTTGGCAAAGTGCTGTGAGAAATAATATTTCTCACAGGTATGAGCAATTCGTGGTTTTGAAATTGAGTAAGCCATGAGAATTACGCTACTTTTCATAGCAGTCGTAGAAAAAAATATTTCTCACAGTATGGGCAATACATGGTTTTGAAACCAAGTAAGCTATGAGAAATGCGCTACTTTTCATAGCAGTAGTAGAAAAAATATATTCTGCCATATTTTGAATCAGTTTTTTTTTTTTTGAACGAATTTCATGATGGAGAAAATTTAGTAACTATGTCAAGAAATTAGATGAAATTGGAGGCTAACAAAATGAAGAAACATTCTCAAAGCTCATTTTCGAATCTGCTCCTCATTGTTCCAATTTTTTTCCTTGTTTCAAATAATAGAGCTGGGTCATTGTGTTTAGCTTCAGTAGATTCAGGGATATAAGCCCATACTGAAACATGCTAAAACACATTGGTGAACCTCTATTTCAGCAACCAAACATACGCTGATGCTCTTAGATGCCATCTAGAGACAAGCTCTTTCTCTGGTTGGTGATGCCATACTCGCTAATTCCTTGACATCATTGAAACTTGGAACACCGTAGGAAAGTCGGCGACCTTCCACTTTTCTATACGTACTTCCATCACGGAAAATATTCTTCAGAAATCTCGACTATCATTCCATCACTACCGGCTTACCACCTCAGCTATGCCATCTCTTATCGAGATTTCTTTCAGGCAGATCGCTTCACGTGGTGGTCGACGGTGTATCGTCTGATACCATTGGCATCAATTCCGGCGTTCCACAAGGATCAATTTTGGCACCAACATTATTCCTGCTCCATATCAATGATCTGTTGGGAGTAACAACTTGCCCCATCCACAGCTTTGCAGATGATAGTACCCTCCATACTGCGTTCTCTTCCAGAATTCCCATTTCTTCCCAGGAAACTAAGAACTCACGGCGCAGGCAGGTCAATGCTGTCAATGAAGATCTTGCTGAAATCACATCCTGGGGAACAAACAACCTAGTTGAATTCAACGCCACCAAAACTAAAGCCTGCATTTTCTCTAGAAAGGCGGAACTCAGTATGCCCGATATTGTAATGTCTGGCTCCACCATCCCCACCAAGCCCACCATATCTATGCTCGGTATTTCCATCAGCAACACTCTTTCATGGGATAATCATGTCAGATCCATCGCAGAAGCTGCTTCACAAAAACTCGGATTCTTTTTTCGTGCGAAAAGCTACTTTACACCTCAACAGCTTCTCATGATCTACAAAGCGCAGATACGGCCTGTTCTAGAATACTGTTCCGACATATGGGGTTCAGCACCAAAACATACGCTGATGCTCTTAGATTCCATCCAGAGAAGAGCCATTCGCCTGGTGGGTGACGCCACACTCACTCACTCTTTGACATCATTGGAACACCGTAGAAAGATCGGCGACCTTTCACTATTCTATCGATACTTCCACGGGAAATGTTCTTCGGAAATCTCTGCTATCATCCCTTCACTAGCAATACCAATCAGACGAACTAGACAAGCCCAGTCAGCACATCCTTTCGTTGTCAACCTCGAAAGATGTCGAACAGCACTTTATCAAGACTCCTTCATCCATAGAACGGCTAGGCTCTGGAATTCATTGCCTGTGGAAGTATTCCCAACAACATATAATCTCCAAAAGTTCAAAAAAAATTCCAATACCTACCTCCTGTCCCTATCCTCCCTAGGAACGCACGATGTTCTTTGAACATTATAGGGATTCCCTTTCGTGCGCTCCAAGCGATAAAAAAAAAAAAAAAAAAAAAAATACTAGTCAGACGAACTCGTCAACCTCGGAATATGTCTTTAACAGAACTCGTTTGTACATATAGGGTGTCCCATAAGTCATGGATCAGGAGATATGGGGAGGAAGGGGGGGGAAGGGGGGGGGAAGGGGAGGGGAAAGGGGGGGAAGGGGGGGAAGGGGGGTCATTTTCAACAAAACTAATGGTATATGGATATACAATTGTTGATAGTTCAAAAGTTATTTTTCTGAGAAACGTGAACAATTTGAAAAAAAATAATGACAAAAAGGCTGTTTCAAATAATCTCATTATACCATTTCAGAATCTGTACTGAATCGGCAACTTTTTCTTATAATTGGTTATTTTGGTGGGGTAGTTTTTAAATCTGCCAGCGGAATTCAAAAATCAACTCAAATAGTTTATTCTATGACAAAACTCGAGGAAAACATTTTTCTCAGGTAATTGATAGGAAGTAACACATGTCATGAAATTATTTCCGATGAAAGGTGCATCCATGTGGATGAAATTTGTAAAAGAAAAAATCACGAATGTGAGATAGTTTAATTGTAATTAATTTTTGTTAAAGAAATGAAAAAAAAACTCATAACTTTTGAACCATTAACAATTGGGTAACCTCATAAACGGTTAGTTTGATTGGAAATTACCCCCCCTGCCACCCCACTTCCTTTGATTCATGACTTATAGGCCACCCTGTATAAAACGACAAAACTTTGGGTTTCTTCGCCAAAGGAATAAGTATATGCCCAAGAACTTCAAACCTCCAAAGGCTGAGAAAAATTCCATCCATTCATACGCTCCAAAAAAAAACAAAACAAAAATCAATCATCCATCGTATATATAATAGTATATTATTCAACGAGCGCATAATGATGGCTATTACCCACGAAGATGAAAGTTGCAGTACGAGCCGAAGGCGAGTGCTGTAATCATCTGAGTGGGTAATAGTCATTATGCGCAAGTAGAATACTATACTTTATCTACAACTATTCAAATATCAAAGCAACTCTGAGAGTTCAGAAATATATCTTTGAAAAAAATGAAGGTTATTATATTGCAAAATCACTAAATCTGATTTTAAATACTCATTAATTCCATCGAAAATTTATTGACAAAGATTCCATTCAACGAACAGCTTATAACTTATTTCAATAATTTTGATTGTGAAAATTTGATAAACAATGTTGGATATAACTTTTATTAGCAGGAAAAAAGTCGTGCAATCACATATCAGTCAATCTTACCAGGTATTATATGATATTTCACTTTTCAGTTGTGAAATGAATCATATATACTATTGCAGATTATTCATTTTTTGCTTCCGCTGTAGCGTTCCCCCACCGCGATGATTGATTGTAGTACCCTGTCTCTAGAAGCTAGTTATCAACAATGAAATTCTATGGTCCTGATTGGTCTGTACTAACCTATTCCAATAGCCTGTAGCCATATAAGTGTTAGTGTGTGCCTTAGATCATACAGGATCTAAGGTGTGAGCAAATCTGCAAGTGTCAAGTCCTATTTTATGGTTATGGTTACTCATGATGGTTACTCATGATGATAGTCACTGTTGAGGATGGAAAACAGTGAATTCTTATTTTTCCATGTATTTGTAGAATTAAGATGTTTAAAACTACGAGAACAATATGGTACGGTGGATTTGCGAACTAATAGAACGAATACATACCTAGTTGAATTTGACAAGACGATGGGATGTCAAATTATTACGCCACCCTACTGTCATTATTACTCTTATTACTCGATTCATCACAATAATGACTGCCATTAAATGTCGAAAATCGAGTGAGCAATGTATGAATGAATCCATAGTTGTAGATAAAAGTATATTATCTCTCTTGAAAATTAGTATGACAATAAATCCTGATTTCAATAATGAGTTGACGCAGATTATTTCAAAGATTGGGAACTGATTTCTTCCAATTCGAATTTACCAACAATCTGACAAATTTCCATTTTAACGAGAATTTGCCTTTCTTCGGACAAACTTTTAACAGACGCTGCCATGCTTTGAAAAAACACATCTATTGGGTGTGGATCGTCTGATTTCCTTTCGAATGTCTTCGACAGCGATTTTCTTTCTTGTGAATGCTTTCTTGAGGAATCACAAATTGTATCTGTTGGTTTGGTGTTTTTCATGCATGGTTCTTCTTTCTGAGATTGCTGCTCTGTATCAAACAACTTCGTATCTTCTATTTCTATGTCTTCAGTCGGTGAGAATTTTTCTTCATCACTATCTGAATCGCCTGTGTCATCTTTTACATTCGTTAACGTCCTGTAACAAAAATGTTCGCATTTTCTACCCAAAATGGCAGAACAGCACAAGATTTAATGCCACGGCTGGTGTTTCATAGCTGAGGCGTAGACGAGACTAGGAAACCATCCAAGGCAGTAAATCTGCTTTTCTGCCATGTGAAACATATAATTTTTTCTCTAAATTCGTTCCAATTTCACGCAAAGTCCAAATAATCCATAATTTTGTGTTCACCAAAAGTAATTGTTAATTTTGACCACTAATTTGATTCAAATCATTACTTGGAACGTTGCATAGCAACGAGCTTTTCTGCCTAGGCAGTAAAAGTACACCTTTTTTGCCTGTCAAGTGTTTTTTGTTTGTTTTTTAAGAAAACACATTTATTGCATTATCAGTCTTGTATTTATGATCCGACAGGGAACTGTTAAAAAAGTTTGAGGGAGGTACAAAACGTTATGAGAAAAAAAAGAAAAAAAATCCTTTGCGGCGGTATGGCGGCTATTTGGAACCGCAGAAAAGTATGGCATGGTGATTTTCGTGAATGGCTACTCGACGATGATTAGCTTAGCAAAAATTAGCCTGGTACAAATGGTTGACTTGCTTTTTCCTACAACTGCACTTTTTTCAATAAATGTTGTGTGCCTGAAGTGTACAATTTTTAAGTATCAAAATACCGTTTCATTAGTTTACGGAAAAGTTTAGAAAAAGAGTACACTTTTTTTCACGGTTGCTTGGCGATGGAATAAATGCTTGCGTGGTAGGGGCTTATACCGGGTGTCCCAAGTTATCGTATAAAAGCAATATCTCGCTTATTTGACAAGATAGTTGGAAAAATCAAAAACTCCATTGAATGACATTGAAGTAACTTCCTTATGACATAAAAAATCCATTATATTTGACAGTTCTCTGGCAGCTACCCCTCACATTTTATTTTCAAATGGCATCCCCTGATGTATGTTTTCATTGGAAATTATGTGTCACTCAATTTGGAATACAATGATAGCGTATACTTGGTATTTCAGGTCATAAGAATTTTTGTGGAACATATCGTTCGACACTCGTTTATCTGACATGTACGATTACCGCTGGCCAACGTTGTTTAGTAGAAGTCCAAGTGTGAATACGACTTCATTGAGAGATGCATTGAGAATTCATTATTTATAAACTTACGCTTTCTCGTTATCAACCTTATCAAGAAATTCTAGAGATCCATCTAGGTGCCATTTTCGACGCTTCTTCGACCGACCTGATCCGGTAACAATTTTGTTGTTCCGTTTACGCCTCATAAATGTATCTCGAACATTTCTCCAACGACTTCTGCAGTCTTCAACTGAAATGAAAATACACAATATCAGAGAAAAAAATGTGCGTTCGTATAGTTGAAAAAATTGAATAATGATAATTTCTCCATTCCAAATTGAGAAAATAGTTTCGAACTTTTCAAACAAATTCAAATTCTGAATGAACAAATTACTTTTTGCTTCATTATTCGGGATTTTCTCTCCTAGTTTCTATGAGATAAAAATATGAGTATTCTTCAACATAGGGGTAGTAGGACAAATCAGACAGTATTAAACACATTTAAATTGAGAATAACGAAAGTGAACGGAAGAAAACTATGGTGTCCTGATCTATATTAGCAAAATATATGACCATTTGTTATTTTTGTTGGTGGTTTTCAACAGATCAAAATCATACCACGGGCTACAATATACAATTAACATTTTTCTATCTTAGATATACATATAGTGTGTTTTCAAACAAGAGAAAAATTTTCAACAGGCAGACTGAAATTAACTATCTCCAAAACAACGCACGCAATATGAAAATGTTAAAAACCCAACCATCCAAGTAATCCTCTTACGGCACCGTAAGTTCAACTGTAATTTTTATTCTAAGAAGAATAAAGTCTAGGGGAAAACACAGAGAACATCAAACAAGAATTTGATTTTTTTGCTTTTATTTCGATCCTTCCAGGATAGGTACTGATGTCTCAAGGAGGGGTGTACCAGGGCCTACTCTATCTGAGATAGAGTAGGCCCTGGGTGTACTATCTCCAAAGAGCACTGTTCCCTAGTACTCCTCCTCATCTACGTGCATAGGTGCAATAACTTTCGATTCACTATTTTGAAAGAAATACTTGTTAATCGACTAATACACATGATAATATGAATATTTGTCAGTAGTACGATGATTTGATGTTTATCATACAGGCTGTGAAAAATTCTTAATTGAGAAAACCCAATCACGAATCTGTGATAAGCAATCTGTAGCAAATTTCCTTTGTTCAAGTTTGAACCCCTTGATTCGATATAAAAGTTTTGAAAAGGATTATTCTCAGATACAGTAGGAACATGAAACATAAAAACAATGGAAACCTATAAACAAATACGTTTACATTATCTATCTGATAAAAATATGAATCTTTATTTTGATATGCTCGTAAATATTGTTGAGCTTTTGCCTCACATAACACTATATAATGCGGAAGCATTAATTTGCATCTTTTAGTATTTTAAGATTCGTTAATTACTTCCTGATTATCGATATTTGTTTGAATGGGCTTTATAAATGAGAATTCGGAGGGTGATTCAAGATTTAATGAATATATTATCATTATGCAGGGTGTTTTATATGTGCAGGCACCGAACATAAACAGCGCAGGACTTCAGGATGTGATAACACATCAGCACTGATTGAACGATTGATGTCTTTCAAAACATGCACAAAATAGAGATGTAGAGAAAACAAAGGATTATGAATGCGTGGATATACAATTTAGATTTAGTTTTCAATGATCTGAAGTTCATAGATAGGTGAATACACAACACAAAAATCGAAATCTCACTCAAACGCTCAGGAACGATGACCTTGTAACTTGACGGTAGAAACAATACAAATCGTGATGTTTCCTTTCATCAGTCTCGAATTGTCCCGAGTCAGTCCGAATATCGCAGCTTAACTATGACTTTTAGTTAGCTGTGAATGATAATGGACAATTCCTGATGAATGCCATATTAGTTGTGGCAAACAGACAGTTGTTCATATAGTAACCCTAGAATAAGAGTTTTTTACCCCAGCAAGAAACTTTAATTTACCGAATGGAGAGCACTGTAATAGTTCTGTCGTAAATAGTTTTATTACAAACGATGAATAATGAGGTGGAAAAAGCAACTTTTTTTGTAGGAAATAGGAATGTTTTGTTGTTGTTAATAAAAATCCCAATATTTTTAATTATCGGTACTAAAGAAATTCCAACTAAGCGATTTAGTTAACCATGATTCTCAGTGTATACACTGAGAAAACACGTTTCTCAGTGTATACCTACCATATCTCAGAGATATTTCCACACCAACAATATTGAAATATTCACGAATGTTATTAGACGTTCGGATTTCAAAGCTCTATATATGTCGAACGCTTATGTCCATAAAGAGACATAATCGGCCTGTTTCAGTGAAATATTTGATTTCATCATTTCGATTTACTAACCCTTACTTGTCCACTGTCACAAACCGTTTTTTCCGAGTTTTTAATAATAATCGTTGAAATTCACGATATTTCATAACATGAAGTACGCGGGATAACGCGTGACGTAATCACCTGTGAACAATCCAATGCAACCAGAGATTCCAGTCATGAAATTAACTTTCTGGACTGAATACATACTGTAGATAATATGGATCACAATACATAACTGAAGAACCAGATAATAATATGAGGATCATCATTGAATATTTGTTAGATTTGACCCTGGTTCTGACTAGATGAAGGTGACAGACGAGGATGACGCTATAGAAAATTAGGTGAGAATTATTTTCGCGATATTTCTGTGGAATCAAAGCATTACGCTGTTGCCAGGGTCACAAAATAGTTTGGATCGAAACAAAATCTTGATCATCAGAAAGTGAAGGAATATGAATACTGTGAATATGAATACTGTTGTTATTGGTCATATTGGATCTCATAAGGTAATTGCTCGTAATTACTAATTATAAATTTGGCACCGTCAAAATAATATGTGGTTATGATCGCATTGGTTGTTGAGGAATAAAGAGGAATATATCAACAAAAATATCACTATTGCCACATGATTGCAACGTGAGAAGTTGTATGACGTTATCGAGAGCTGACGTTTTGTAATGATTTTAAAGAACGAATTTTGAAGAACGAATGATTGCATTAAATACTATGTATACTCGGAATGATCGATAAAAATAAGTATTTGGCGTAAATTCGACGAGTGTGTAGGTACAACCCCATTACATTCTATCGAGCTCTATCGGATCCTGAAAAATTGGTCATTGAAATTTAATCATCCTGTATTTCGAGATCAAGGGCACCACACGAACCTATGCACCTCGGCGCATAATAGGCCAGAGATGGCTTTGTGTGTTTGTTCTCAATTTTTCAAGTGAGTAGTCTTATAAATTAGTTTCAGTTTCAGTTGAAAACGGTTGAAAAGGTACCCTCACTGTAAATAAACTCATGAAATGACATCTGAACCACAGGTTTTCTCGGTGATTTATTTTCATTACTATACAGAGTGGGCCATTGAAAACGAAACAGCGGCTCTGTAGGTCAGCAAAACCGGATTATGAAAAGAATCTGCAACACGTCAACTACATTTTCGAGGGGGACATCGTTCTGAAATATTATCAGCCCTGCGGCGTTGCCGCTTCTCACGAAAAAAAGCAACAGCTTTGCTATTTTGAATGGAACACCTTGTATCTCATTGCATTTTTAGATTCTCCCCGAAGAGCTGATTTCATCAATGCATTACACTTGGGGTCTAGCTGGAATGATTTCAGGGATATAGGGTGTTCAAAATCGAGGTTTTTCAACTTTAGTATTTTTTTGGTGTCGAAACTATTCATTATTGCTCAAAAGGGCTCTCATGTCCCTGTCTCAACTTTTGATTTACTATCTACTGACATTTATTTGAAACAAATACAGGGTGGTTCAAGATTTAGACTTCTGATCACCCTGTATCTGTTACAATTAAATGTCAGTAGATAGTAAATCAAAAGTTGAGATGGGGACATGAAAGCCGTTTTGATCAATAATGAAGAGTTTCGACACAAAAAAATCCTTAAGTTGAAAAATCTCGATTTTGAACACCCTATATCCCTGAAATCATTCTAGCTAGACCCCAAGTGTGATGCATTGATGAAATCAGCTCTTTGGGGAGAATTTGAAAATGCAATGAAATATCAGGTGTTCCATTTGAAATAACAAAGTTGTTGCTGCTTTTCGTTAAAAGCGGCAACGCCGCAGGGCTGATAATATTTAAGAACGATGTCCCCCTCGAAAATGTAGTTGACGTGTTTCAGATTCTTTTCATAATCCGGTTTTGCCGACCTACAGAGCCGCTGTTTCGTTTTCAATGGCCCACTCTGTATAGTATTACAAACAGAATTTGCCATTAATAATTCTACTCACCTGGTTGCCCCATCGCTTCGGATATGTTTTCCCACACATTGTCTCTAATATTCAAATTTTTATATTGCGGATTCTTCGGATCATACAAGCAGGGATGTTGTCGAACGAGTTCAATCAACTTCGAGTCCTCCACGTTGGAGGATATTTTCATTCTGCCACACTGTCTGTCGCGGCGGCCGTAACGATCAGACTGACTGAATAGCCTAGCACGCAGTTGAGTCGTGCATTTCTAGACGCGCCAACACGATCGTGTCGTATCGATCGCGCGACTAGAGTCTAGGGCCAGCACCTTCTGAGGAGGCGAATTTACCCGAGCACCGACAGCGGACACCTCAGCCATCGAACATCAACTTTCTGAAAGTTGATGTTCGATGTCACAGCGGACAGGATAAAATCCTTCGAAGAGAGGAGAACGATCGATATTCTTTTTTGTACCTACAGTGCCACTCGTAATTAAAGGTGACTAAAGTTCGTTCTTGTATTTCATTATATTATTTGCCAATAATAAATATGAAAAATTTCACAAGAGAATTTAGTATATTTCAGGTCTCTTTAAATTTGTTTTTTACCCCATCTTCATATCATCTAATCTGATAATCTGATGTGATGTGTGATACTGAAGACTGATAATCGAACGAGAGCTTCCGTACCTATATGTACTCAAATATGTAGACAATAATACAAGGAGCACAGCTTATTAAGCTGTGACCAGAGGACCAACCAAGAAATATTTTCCAAACAAGTTCACAGAAAAATGGTGATGAGGATAAGGGATACAAAAACTTCACGATTCATGTGAACTTTCTATTGGAATTCCGTTTCTTCATTATATTTTTAATCAATTTCGTTTTAATACTCAACCACTGGTTGATGTCTTTCAATTCGAATGTTTAAATTTATGTACCCCTCAAACTTCCTGCATAATTACAAATCGTGTCAGTTCAACAGAAAGATCCTCTTGCTTCGCAGTATTCAACTGTCAAACTTACACTTTTTGTAATTATGCATCAAGTTATCGATGTATAACCCGAAAATTTCGAGGTACTTATAGTATTACTACTGATAATACCTATGTCCAGTCCTACGAAATCAGCACTGCATATTATAAACTAGCTATACCTATACACCACACATTGTTAAGAACAACTAGGTATAGTAACAACTTTTCCATCCAAATATACCTACATCGCCAATTATCAGCAGGAGTCTAAAAGAAACAATATATCATAATTTTAGCAAACCAAAAAGCATATCCATCCCCAAGTTACTGCCCAGATAAAATATTTTAATTTTACATTCAACCCTGTATGCTCTAATTGCTGTTAATATACGGATCTCTCTATATTCATCAATGATTCAAAATTTTAATCCCCACATAGTTATGTTCAAAACAAACAATAAATTGGCGCGCTTCTAGAGGAATTCTGTTAGTCAAGGCATTTACGTTCGGGTACGTTCGTCTTCTCAGAAAGTGCTAGCCCTAGACTCTAGTGATCGCGCGGCAGTAGCCGACTGTTTTATTATTAGAAAAGGTGCATACCTTAAGCGGCGTTTGGGGGACTTCGCTCCAAGATGCCAACCTATAAACCTCTACCATCGTCCACCAATATTAGAATATTGGTGGACGATGCCTCTACCACTGTAAAAGCAATATTATGGAAGTTTGATTACTCGAATAGCTTATAGCGTTTTCCGCTCGTCGATTTACAGAGCTCTCTACTGTGCTAGCACAGAGCAAGTACAAGTGGTACTGGCTCGATTCTCCCATAAAGTGCGGTTCCAGCACAGAGCAGTGGAATAGAAATAGAGAGTTGGTGCGACATTCTTGTCATCAGAAATTTCAAAATAATCGTTTTGTCAATCAAACAGTTGAATTATTGAAAGTACATTTGGTTCCGTTGGTCCACATGTAATGGATACACATGACTGTCCAATCACTCAGTTCAGTGTATTCTCCACCAGAGGGGTTTACTTGCCGTCCTTTGCGGAGAAGTCATTTGTTTAGCTCTTATTCGGTTGTTTTCCAATAACATAGGTTATATTGAATTATCAAGTGTCAAAACTGTGTCACTGTCAGGTCCCTGATGTGTTCTGTTAAATATCGATAAATTCCTTTACTTTTTCGGATTTTCATTCAATCAAGCATTCTTCTTTGTGTTGTGTCTTCATCATGTATTTACAGCCTCCTAGCGTATGAAATGAAATGTATGAATAATCGTATCAAATATGGGGTTTGCTTTTTCGAATCTCATACCCAGTGATAAACTCCACAGCAAGAATGGTCGAATTTCATTTTGGAAGGCATTGGTAAGAATATGATATTTCATGTACACTTTTCTGATGATTTTCAATTTCAGCCTCGATTCCACCATTAGAACACTGGTGTTAATTCTGGTGTTGAAGTTTGTGTCAATGATTTTGGAAGACACTATAGAGTGATGATCAATAGCACTACATAATTATGGCGACTTATCAGGATGGAGACATACATTCAGAAAGGATCGCTTACGATAATTTTCAAGGTATGTTTAGTCTGCATTGTTGTTGCATAGCTAGGTAGGGTAGGAGTAGTATTGTTGAAAACTGTTTCATGTGAGCCTGATGGTTCAAGCCATCAATGCAACGTATTCAAACTTAAATTACCATATATCTACAGGATGGGCATCCCAAAAAGCAACACCAAGAATGAAAGAGGAATGGAATTTAAGGTATGCTCTCCGAATCCCAGAGAATCATCAGTCTAGGCTAACATCTGGAGTTTTTTCGAGTGCCACAACTACAATTTGAGGTATTTTGTGTTCCTGCTTCGTGGCAAATATCACAGAATAATGATACTATCAGAGATTTTCAAAAATGTTTTTCACTGCTGTGATGATTTTGTCACAAAAAATTTAAATTAATTATTTGGCCTAAGTTTATGTATTATGTATGCCCATCTATCAATGAGATCCTGTATAGCTTTCTTGTTTTCTTGATAGAAGTATGAGATGGTATGTGAAATGAGGTAAAATGTTGCCAGTGCAAACTCAACTTTTGAAATGCATATAACTATTTCTGTCTCCACAAAGTTTTGAAAATGGTTGAAAAATATGGATTGATAGATAGATAGATGATATGTATAGAAATCATTTATTCAAGTAATATAATAATTTTATTCCATAGACAGTCACCATAATAAACAATTTCCTTTTCCATTAAATTAGCTGATGATGAGCTCATATTTGAACTCAAAACATGCTTCTTCTCTGCTGATTTCTGAACAGATAATAGAAATTGTGGGATACACAATAATATATCATCTTCCTCTTTTATTTCCAGTGTCCAAAGGATCTCCAGGTAACCTAGCTTCATCCTCCAAAGTCAAGATCCCATATCCAAGCCGTTTTATATTCATTGTGTTGCTATCCCCAGAACCTATAAAGAAATGTTGCTATAGAACATTTAATGATTTTGAAGTTGGCATAATTCTATCAATTTTGCTATACAATTTATCTGTATATCTGATATGAAATATATAAGTATGAAATGATAAATTGATATTTAATCTGCTATTCATGGAGATACTTGATATTGTAGTTAAAATGCCTGATTATTTTTCTGAACCCTAAACAATTGTTCACAACTCACCTTATATAGTAAATATTCTGGTTATGCATAGATAGCATCATCAGAATTGAATGTCTCCAGTCATAATTCAATCAAACCTCATGAAGAGCTGCTTCAACATATTGTGTTGAGAAAATTCAGTATCTTCCTGAAAATACAAATTAAGAAATATCACTTGAGATCACAGATTTTGTGAAACAATATGAAATGTTGCAGTACATTTCACTCTGAGAATACAGCAGTATCTGGTTATTAGGGCTACCATGGCTCTTATTAGGCAGTTAAAAATCCAATCAATGAAATAATTGAACATGTCCTTACCTATTCACGAATTGACGAAGATGATTTCCACTTGAATGGCATTATTATGTATGCATATAATACCGTTATTTGGCATGAACACTCCTAAGTTAGGAGTCCTAACCACTTCATTTTGTTGGCCTTTTCACAGTTTTACTTGGTATCTTGAACAAAGCTCTCCAATCTCGAGTGACAATGAGTGACAGGCTGACAGTAAGAAAATTTGTCAACAAATAATGAAGGATCATGAATGCAGGTTATGTTGAATACCTCATTTGACACAGGAAATAGATGACGCCACTTGCCGTCCCTCCAAAATTTCATTACAGGGCGATTTGGCGATTTTCACTGAATGAACAGTCATGTATAACCCGTCAGACAGTCCATTTAGCCGTCATTGGATACACCTACCTCTTATTGTGGTTTTCCTGTGAGCACTGCCAGACATCAGCCAGAAACAGTCTTATATATGAATGTTCATTGTCAATGATGTTCAATTAAATTATTCGACATTAGTGATGTAGCACTGAATCAACCATATCAAATATGTTTCATACTTGCTTTAGCTTTCTGAATCTGAATCATCATTTCTTCATCATCGCTTGTATCCGAAGTATCTATGATTTCGGAAATCATTGTAATAATAGTAGTAAACTCCAATCAGACATTCATAATTATTCAAATTCCGAACATTTTCCCACTCGTGACTCGAATATTCTAGATCCCCATCATATATTTGTTATATATAGACGACAGGAAAGCGGGACCAGAACCTTTGGCACGAGGATCACACTACACTGTATTACCTCGACACATGGTTCGCTAACATTGTAAGCATCTTCAGGTGAACATTAAAACTGAATATCCTATTCTAGAATGCTGCCTAATATATACTAGGTATATTAAACTAAACTGATCGCGCAGTCAATGTCTGTCATTGTTGGGTTCATTATGTTAATCCTAAAAATGCACTATTGGAAATGAGTAGTCATTGTCACTTTCAACAACTTCTTTTACGGTTGAAAAGATTTTGATGGATTTATCAACATTTTCATGATATTTCTACTACTATTATAACTTCCGATCATGTTGTCATTGGAAGAAGTTGTCGAGTTGCAAGTTTCTATTAATGAAACAACTGGAAGGCTTTTCTAAAATCGCAGTAACAAAGCTATCTGAATGACAAGATTTATTCAATTTTTCCTGTTGTATTTTCATCAGGAACAGACAGTTTCTGTATCGACAAACATTTCTTGAAATTGTAGAAAGTGAAATTAACAATTGCGATGACTTCAATATATTGAATCTGATATACGTTCTCATAATTGTCAATACATTATTAGTTGAATGCTATATTTCATCAAATTATGTTCAAGATTTGTTAACAACTTTCTCAATTTCAACAATAGTTCTAGTCTGGGTACAAACATTGTC